TAATTAATTATAATAAGCTTTAAGTTAGAGAGAAAAGATAGTTATTATTATTATTAGATAATAGCTTCCCCCCTTAGAGACTATAGCCGGGTTTTTATATCTAGCTATTAAATAACTTCTATTAGTAGAGTTTTTTCTAAGATTAATACCTATATCCGGACTAAAAGTATAATATTTAGATTTTTCCTTATAGTATTAAAGGTTCAGATATAGACTACTAATTATATTCTTAATAAAAATTATATAGTTAGATTATATATTACCTGATCTTAGGATTAACCAGACCCTTATTTATAGCTAAAAAAAAAAAACAGATAATAAGATTTACTTTTTATATATAAATTCTATAAAAAATTTAAATTTTAATCTTTTAGATTTATTTATAATTAGAAGAAAAATAATTATAATTAATATATAATTATTAATTATATTATTATAAAGCTTTATATCTATACTAATAATAAGAGAAGAAATATTAAAAGTATATATAAAACTATTATAAGATCTAGATTAAAAAAAGTTAAAAGAATTAGAAATTAAAATTATATAGCTAAATAGTTCTTAATTAGTACTATCTATAGAGATATATTAGAAGATAGAGAAATTCTAATTAATTAATTAGAAAATATAGATTAGAAATCTAGTATATATTCTTATCTCTATAAACCCTAGTAATAACTAGGAAAGTAACTTCCTACTATTTATATATCTTAGAGGCCTAGGCTAGCTGAGAATACAGATATCAGCTATATATAATATACTTAATTTAACTAATTATCTGACAGGTTTCAATTTATATCAATATTTCTGGAGTAGATCAATAACGAGAGTGATCAACATTACCCTTGATAAGTGGCAAATGCTGAAATCAAATTGATGTTGGGCGGCACGTCGCTCAGTTTTTAGCAATAAGTCTATGGGACCACATCGTTTTTTACCCTACTAATTGTCCCAACATCTTCCAGTCTCGCTCATCTTGGTGCGGTAATTGTATTTCGTTCACAGACCATGTGAATCAAACTAATACCTACCTCAAGTGCCTAAGTTGGTGAGATAATAATTGGCTGGTTGGAATTTCCAAAAGATCGGTGGTTTCCTACCAAAACGGAAGCTTGATGCTATGTCATTCACCTCGCAAATGGGCATGATACTGTTACTTTACTTATTAATCATAGATGCCTATCAAAGATAAAAGGTTTCGAAAGAGATCATTGAGTTCCATGAAGGTGCAGCTATTCATATCCACGAGCCGTGTGATGGGGGCTGTCATATGCTGTCTAATCTGAGCAGGCCTTATGGGCTACTTTTCGCCGTTCCTGACCACCACGAGTCAAAATTGCCCCATGGGTCAGACCAAAACGTTGCATCCAGAGCTTTTTTGCTCTTACCACCCTTCCGTCCGTTCTTTTTGTAGAAAAAGAACATTGCGACATCCAACGCGACTTCGAGCCCTTTGAACAATCCGGAATCCGTTGGCGTGGAATCTGGTTCCTTTTTTTGATGCCGCCTGTGGTTTCTGCGGTGAAGCTTTGGAAGCATTTTGAGGAACTGAAGGAGAATTCCCATCTGGTGTTATATCCAATGGCTGTGGGTCAAGTGGTGTGGTAGCGGAAGTTGTAGAAGTTGTAACCCTGATAAAGCTCGTTTTCTCGTCCAGTTGGAGCTTTACTTTGCTTCCTTTTAACACCTTTGCTGCCTCAGTGTTGCCACAGGAAATCTTCGCAGCCATTTCACAGGCTATTTGAAGTTTTGCGGTCGGTTTCTCACGACGGTTCTTGCGGATCATGCTTCTGGCAACCTCTGCTCGTTGACTGCGATGACGCACCTCGCTATAGTTCTCAGCGGGCTTATTATGGAGCGGATTCAAAGGATCTAGCACGAGACTATGGTAATAGACATGGGCACCGTTAAAGCGCTGTGAACTGATGGGCAAAGGCTCAAAGATTTCTGCGAAGTCGTAATCCTTTAAAAGCCCAGGGATTGTGCGATTCCAAGCCTTTTTAAAAGAATCTTCGGACATTGTGTCCCATTTTGTTATCACAACAGTGATTTGACCGTAGAATTTGGGGCCACAGAAGCACTTTAACCACTGAAGGGGTTTAAAGTCCTCTGCTCAAGTCCTCTGCTCTCATCTTGTCTTGATTACCAGCAATCAAGAACAAGACACCGGTAAAGGTTACAAACGGAACAAGGGCTTCTAGGCAGGTAAGAATGTCCCGGAAATTTTTCGTATCATCCATATCAGCGGCCCCGAAACCAGCTGTATCAACAAATAGATAGTGCTCATCATCAATCATCGTGGGCCAGATTTCATAGTTTTTTAAGCCTAGTATGCACATAATAATTAGCATTACGAGTGTATATCTGAGGCTTTTTGAAGCTTTCTAGCTTACCTGACTTGCGAGTCTGCCCGACGTCTCAGCCTAGGTACCTGAGTCAGTAGTAATACGTACCTACTACGTACGTAGCATGAGCTGGGCGCTTACATGGATACACAGTGAGCTGTCTTGGCAAGCCATATTCCGCTGCCACCCCTTACTCGGTACCCAGCTTTATTCTGTGTACACAAATGCGTGAATTTGCTGCCAGACGAGGCTGCCGCATGCTAAGCATGCGAACCAGATAGCTAAGGCGGAAATGCATGTAGGCAACCAAAATTCTACAGGAATGCAGGACCTAATCATTGGCGGCCTTTCCCATTCTTCCCCCCCTCGTCTCTCATCTGGTCAGTTCACATAAATCATGTCAGAGCCTTTTGAGAGCGCACCCACCGTTCTGTGCCACCGCCCCTCCATGAAACGTCCACTACTATGGTCAATCTAGGCCGGCTAGTTCAGGAACTCAGTCCTTCCTTTAATACGCAGGATGGATTTTACAACGCGGAAGATGGTAGCTGGTGCTGTAGCTGCTTGGATCCTGTAATATACACCTATGCAGTACTGCTAGACAACCATTATCGGCCCATGGAAGGAATGGGTATGCTACCTCCTCTTTAAGTTTAAAAGTCTGACCTAGGTAGAAATCCCCATTGACCATCATCACCTGCAGGGAGCATACAAGCCACATGTTCAAGGCAGCTGTGCCACTTCAAGGCTTGTTGGCTTGCTCAGGATTTCCACCACGTTGTCAATGAGTTTACTGGAGGCAACGAAGCAAATTTTGGCCAGGATACCGTGATGAGCGCAAACATGACCAGTGGCAACGAAAATTTCACAGGAAGTAAGCAACGAAACTGACTTTTGTTCAAAGGATTCATTCTTGTCATTTCATGAATAGATATCTAACACAAATCTGTGTTTAGTTTATTCGCCAAATGTTCATGTACACTACCAACCCGTCTCGTTTCATTTCTTGCAGCAGTTCAGCTCGCCCATTGCTCAGGAGATTCCCTTCGACTTTCTTCAAGCGCATAGTAGACAGATTCCGCAAGAACTTCCGTTTGAATGTCTACTTCAGCACAGCAACCAGACTTCGACCGAGATACATAGCCAACGGGTCTGGCCCTGGCCCTGGCTATGGCCGAGGACCAACAATATGTGGGCGTAACTGTCCTGCCACTCTCACTTCGCCAACTCCGAGAGCAACAGGACAGCGAAGAAATCTCCCGTCACCTCGACCGACTTCGCGAGACGAGCATACTGCCCTACCGCCAGTGGCTGGTCCGCTATCTTCACTGACCCTTCTGTGACCTTTACTGGTATAACATCTACTATCCATCCGTCTTGAGTAGGAACAACGGCGGGCCGATCGAACTTCATGGCTGACACTCGGTTTTGGGAGGGAGAAGGCTGGTTGCAAAATGGATTTAGTTAGTATTCCAATATCACCCTTGATTATTCGATTTGGTAGACCCAGGGGGGAGTGTACCTCGGTATTTTTCATGATCTCCTTGACGAGCGTGTTGCAAACTTTTGCCAGCTGTGCGGTGTTTTGGCAAATTTGGAAATTTTCAACGCATTGGAAGTTGGCATCCTGTGTTTCAAGCCAAGCGGCTACCTCTGCAATCTCGCTATCGGCAAGAGGCAGAGAGTGGATCGTCAAATTGTTGCTGTTTCTTTCCATTTCTCCTAGGTCTGGAACGAAGCAAGTTAGAAAGTGTTGCAAAAGAGTGCAAAATCGGCGCAAAGTGCCTTGCGTAGCGGGGGATAATCTAGGAAACAATCGGCGAGGAGCCATATTTGTCAACTGGCATATTGGCGGCACATGTACCGTCGGTAAGCCCGTTTCCTGGTGTAAGACGTGCAGCACCCACCCACCTTTTTGGGATGTTGCTTACGGCTTCAGGGGGGCTTAGGTTGTGGGCATTCAGCCCAAGCAGCCCATCCCTCTTTGAACGGCGATAAACGAGCTTTCGGTGCTGTAAATTTTGCCCAAGGGGCCCGGAGCTGCCTAACTGCGTCGGGTGATCTGCTACTCCACAGGTTAATAAGACCTCTAAAATGCGGCCACGACGTGGTGTTGTGTCATAATACATGGCTCAGCCCGAAGTTGCTTGATAATGCCTCGCCCTGCAAAATTGCCTTACTTGTGGATATCTCGGCCTGAAATCAATCACGAGGCTCCTTAGATATTTTGATATATTAATAACTGCGAATTTGGGTAAATATGCCTGCCTTATGAGGCGGATAAGGTATTGGACTTGTTTGTAAATGGTATAGGATAAACCCATTTTTGAAAGATTTGCGGCACTTTTTGCTATTATTGCTATTATTTCTATCCATCTCGACTTGCAACCATTACAGATACTGAAAGTCGGTGTGTGGAAAGCGATTAATTGGACTAATGGATGCATTTGGTGTGGCGTCTACGTCGTTTCAGCTCCTCCAAATCTTGTTCGAGCTTCGCACGTGTTTAAAACACCAACCCCTCAAGTTTAATTCCTGGGACGAAGAGCTATCCTGTCTTGATAGAACAATCACTTCTGTCCGGGAGAACCCAAAGCTGCACACCATACTAGTGAAGACCATCTTAGAGAGGGTGGTAGCTAAGGCCAAGGCACTGAAGAACCTCCTCGAACGGCTCTCTCCGGTACATCAGAAGAAGAAATTCGACATTCAAAAAATTACCAATATTTTGACTGCCAAGTCGAACGAGTCCCAAATCCTGAAGCATTTTGCCGATTTGGAGCGTTACAAGACGACGTTGATGCTTGCCATCAGCACAATCAACTCCTCCAACCTCGAAAACCCCGAAAAGACTTCCATGTGGAACACAAAACCCCGAAAAGATAGACGAACTTTGGCGTTAAGCAGACCCAAAGACCCTCTCGCCGACCACCCTAACTGGAAGAAAATTCTATGGGAGCTCATCCACACCTCCGCTGAGCAACCTCAACCTCAGGTAAAAGGCCTCTCGAAGTCATATCCCTTCACCGACTGTTTCTAACGAGACTGTTTAGCCTATGAACAACCATCAGTACGAGGTACGTCAGCGTCTGGAGCAAACCCCAACGCCGACAGCCAGTAACCCGACTTCAACCGGTGCCAGCGATACACGAGGCAAATCTGCCGCCACCGTGGTAAATGTTATGTCTGGAAATATTTCAAAGGGGAACAAGTGTTCTCTGTCAATCAGTCACCCGTTGGGGGGGACAATTGAAGAAAACCGGTTCGAAGGGCATCAGAGATTGGATGGTTTTCACGGGGAAGGAGTAATGAAAGCGTACATCACCAATGTCCAAGCAGCAGAGCTGATGGATATAGACGAAAAGGAGGAAGTGGAAGCGGAACGACAACCCTCTCGTCGCATGCCTTTTCATAACGTTGATTCAATGGACGTGGATGGGAATGAATGAAGGTTCGACAGGTAGCTCATGAAACAATAGAAAGAGCATTATGGTACGAAAGTCGCTGGACTTCCGAACGCAAGACAACTTCCACAGTCATTACGGCACGTCTCACTCTTGATCAGGCCCCTTAACTTGCTACAGTGTTCTTTGTTTCGGTCGCGGTTGTTATCTTGGGCGTTGCGTTGTACTACTCGAAAAGCATGCGGGGTTGGTAAAAGTCCATATCACGCCGCACATTCGTAGAGATCGTCGACCTTTTTAACCGAGACGTAAACAAGAAACAGATGATACAACTTTTCGAACTTTAACTAGTAGTCAAGTTAAACGTTAGCTATTGAGGTCGGGTAGATTTAGATCTAAGAGCTATAAAATATACTTTACCAAGTACATGGGAAGATCTTATAGCCATGTAACAGATTGTCTGAATACCAGCCATAGGCCTCGGACTTTGTTATTAGGATCGGTACCGCTAAACCGTTGTTTACGCTTTCTTACGAAGTAATAGGGAATTATACCTCTTGTTACGCTTTATGTCGTTACTCGCAGCTATAGTGCTAAATATCTGCTATATTGGATAAGAATAAGCTTTTAAAAAAACAACTGGTCGGAAATGCAATGCCATTCCTCAAAGCCAGGCATTCATAGTGAAAGAGGGCAACATTGCCCTTGAACAAGATGGATATTGAACTTGATAATGTGACTAAAATGGGCATCTCCATTAAATCAAGTCCGACTTGACGTATTTACGAAGGACAGCCAACGTCTCATCCCAAGTCTGTTGAAACAGTTCCTTATCCCGCTCGCTCTGCATCAAGGCGCTCAGCCTAGACAATGTCAGTCAGCTACAAGGCATGGCCAATTGTCCAAGATGGAGAAACTCACGGGGCAATCTTGTCATTCGTCCACATTCTCTTGTGCACCTCTGGGCCTTGGCCCGTGGCGCCCACCAGCGTCCTGGCACCCTCCTCGGCAGACCGGCCAAAGACAGCCCACGTCATGGACATCATCATCTGCTGGAGGAAAGATGCGTTGCGCACCATGTTGGTCTTGCACATGCCCGGGCAGGTGGCATTGACAATGACCCGCGTCTTGGTCACGTCGCCGCCCCCATCGGCGCGTTCCGCCACGCCTCGAATGGCGTACCAGGCCGCCAGCTTGAGGAGGAAGTACTGCTTGCGGGCGTCGAACTTGCTCTGGTCGTGGATGCGCTGGATCAGCGTCTGGCCCTGGGGTATGTCGTCGTCGACAACCTCGAGGCTGCCGGCGCTGTTGAGGAAGGAGATGTAGCAGTAGTCGTCCGAGCCGGATGCGACGAGGCGCTGGGCCGTCGCGCGGACCTTGGGCAGCAGCAGCAGCGCAATGAGGGAGAATGCATAGGCGCCGAGCTGGAGGTCGACCACGTAGCCCTGGGGACTGGTGGCGAACTCCATGCTGGCGACGCCGCCTGAGAGCTGGAGGATGTGCAGGTCGGGGACGCTGGCATCTACGCGGGTGGCAAACTCTTGGAGGGACTCAAAGCTGGCCAGGTCGAGCGTCTGGATGATGAAGATTTCGGGCGAGCAGCCCGTGGCGCGGATGATGGCGGCTTTGGCGTCCTCGCCCTTCTCCTGGGTGCGCACGCCGAGGATGAGCTTGGATGCGCCCTGGGCCGCGTACTTGATGGCAGCTGCGTGGCCCAGGCCCGAGTTGGCGCCCGTCACCAGGATCGTCTTGCCCTTGAAGGAGAGGTGTTTTGGGTCGGCCGGGGGGTGCCTGGCCGCATGCCACATTTCCTTGGGGCTCGACATGATGGAGAGCGATGGCTGCCAAGATGACGACAAAAGAAGCTCGGATGGGGAGATGTTGCTGGTTAGACTGACTTGGAGGAGCTGACTTGGAGGAAATACATGCTGCCGAGGATGGATGCAGCCAACATAAAATGCCCCTCCCCATCAGCTGACACGGTGCAGGCAGGCAGGCAGCATGAATTACCGTTACACAGGGCCAACTAGCTACAGATTGATTCACCAACACCGTGGCACATGAATGAATGAATGTTGGGTTACCTCGGACAGGGTCAGGCAACGTCCGTGCCTTATTATTACCCCAGGTGCCATGATTCGGCCCCCGGCAAGTCACAATCTGTCACAGATTAGGCCAACCAGGCAAATGGAAATCCTTGCTAGTTTCCACGAGTTATCCATTATATACGCGTCACTAATCGCGACCCCTGCCTGTAGGGGGTCTTCGATTCAGCAGACAGGGGGCACTGAAGACCTTTTGCATGGCACGAGACTCCAACCAACAAAGGGCAACCAACAAAGGGCAACCAACAAAGGGCAATTCTGGGCAGCGAGCAGGAAGGCATGTAACCAACAAAGCCCAGCCTAACTTCACGCAGAGAATGGTTGCCTCGCTCGACACTTCCACACGACCAAACACCGACCCCTCTTATGTCACAGGGCTATGAGAAGGTTGCCTCTGCCAACGCGCCCTGTCATTGCATCCAAGACTAAACCATTTTGTAGTACCTCAAACAAGGTCGTCCATTCTTGATGCGGAATATACTGGACGATGAGTAGTGAGAGTCATCATAGGGCCAACCACGAGTAGCACTGCGAGGAAATGCACCTAGGCTTTTCCGAGACGCCCTTCAAAGAATTCTATACTACCAACATAACTTTTCAAGGGCATCTTCATAAATCCAATCGTCAATAAATGATAGATCCAATGCTGTCTCATCCGTGGTTTGGAGATCGTGTCCGGAATCTCCCATGCCGCTAACTAATGGATTTTCACCTAGAACGGATTGTGTGGAGCTTATTGGGTGCTGCGGTATCACAACCTCTGGGCTGGCAGACAGCGAATTAGGTGACTGCAACTTTCTTAGAGTAGAGTGAATCTCCTGAATGTGAGCATGGAACTCCATTGCAGCATGATTCCCATTCTGTTCAAGCTGTTGAAGAAATCCGGCAGCGAGATTAAACTCCTCCATCTCCTCCTGAGAAGTTTTTCTGTTCAAGGCTCCTGCTATGGCGAGGATAACAGCGGCTGAAAAAAGGTGCTGAACATAGAAGTAGTCGAAGATATGGAACTCTCCATTTACCCAGCATTGTGATAGAAGATCGTAGGATTGTCTGGCTGCGCTGATACAAGCCTCAACAGTGCATTGGGTCTGGTGTGGGATAGGAAGCTCCGTTCTCGTCGAAGGCCTCTCATCTATATGATGTCGGAAAACGAAGAGAAGAACTGGCCGCGTTGCTACTATCAAAAGCTATGGTATCTTAGCACGCAAGTAATACAGTTGAATGCCCATGAGGGTATACGTGTAGACATGGCCGGAGGGGGAAAATAAGAAGAATAAGTACCTGATTGAAGGTAAGATGTAGTATAGTAGTAGGTTGCAATTGTGTCTCAATACCACTCGAGTGATTGGGGCGAGGCTTCAATTGGCTCGGTAGTAGCTCTTTCCACTGGTTCAACTCCTCTTGTATCTGTGCTACTTGTTGAAGAAATGTACCACGCTGCTGAGGCGTCCGTACATAAAGAGACCTCGAAATATGTCCTGCAATCTTGGCTAGATGAAGAGTGGCCACAAACTCGAGGTGATCCCCAAAGTCCTCCGCGCTGAGAGCCGAATCATTTGACGGCAGATCAACAGAAATATCAGCGTCTGATATTAAGAGTGGAAGACCAATTTTCGACGATAGAAACCTATCGATAATATAGACGGACCACCAAAGGCGAACTCGATGCTCTCTTATTTCAGGTTCTGGAATGGAAGCAGAACCTATTTTGATATGTAATCCCATAATAGTGGCGAGGCGCAGGGCAGTGCCTACGAAAGTGCATGCTGAATGCCGACGGTTCGTCTCGAGAGAGTACAAAGCCAACGCGCTCTTAGTAAAAACACAGAATAGTTAGATCTCAAAGATGGTAACTCACTAGAAGAAGAACTGTCTCGATCACATCAATCTGGGGCCTCTCGTTTATCATGCGGATAGCATCACTAGCCATGGCGAAGTAGGCCAATCCAGGGAGATGACCGGTTGCGGCAAGGCATTTACTAGAGCGTAGCTCACCGATAGCAAACAATGCCCACAGTTTAGCCTTGGAGAGTAAACTCATTTGGTTGAAATCAGTTGCCCGCAAAGTCGAGAAGACCTCGCTGCGCCGGACTATGTGGTAATTGTGTCGCAAAAATCGGAGCGCTGTTTCAATCAGGAGCCTAGCACGCGACAACGATGGCCAGGTAGGGGGAGGATATGTCGTTGCGAGGCTGTGAAGAGCCTCATCGGAAACGAACTGAGTACGAGGAATGTGACATGGTGTGTGGGAGAAAGAAGCAAACTGGCGGAAGCGAGTGGCAAAGGCACTGTCCGATATCTCACCGATCCAGATGGGAGTATCAGATGTCCTAATGTGGGTGAACCAGTCGCTTCCCTGTATAGACTGGTTCTCGGTAGAATCCTGGTCACTATGGGATTTTGTGGGAATATTCCAGGTGTCTTGTTCGGGTTTCCTTTCAGACTGCTCAGCCGGATGTTGAAGGGCGCGTAATTCGGCATTCTCCTGCAGTATACGGTCCAGGAAGCTAGCCTTCTTTAACATGGAGCGCTAGAGGTAGATAGGAGGTGATGAAAGCCTGTTTACATACCTCTGGTGTACTCGGACTTGACGATCTCGCTTTGGGTAGATGCAATCGGAAACACGAGTGCAGTTGTTGCACGGCTTGGTGCCAGAACACCGAATCTTGCGTGCGTGGCATGACTGGCAACTATATACGTCAACTTCTCATCCATTTATGTTATGGGCATTTGTCTTACGCGATAGCTTTCTTTTGAGGAAGCTTAGGAGCTGGGATGGGCTGTTTCCCGCTGCGACTGGAGGATGACGGCATCATGCAGTTGCCCGAGACGTGAAATGAAGAATGATGTGATGAGGAAGATTCAGCGGGGCTCCAACAAGGACAAAACCCCGAGGCTCTGAAATTTTATTAGCCTATTAGAATGACATAAGCTTCGGGTCGGCCGAAGAAAAGCTCGCACTAGACTTCCCTTCACCAATTCATTCTAGGAAATAAACGATCATCGTATTGGATTTAAGGAGATATCTATAACTGGTTACTATGGCCTTCTCATGATCCCTTTGCGTGAAATGATGCAATCCTTCGCCACATTTCTACAGGGTTTGAGTACATGATAAAGTGCGCGGCATGAGGGATCTCCGCCAACTCGACACCGGCTCTAGAGAGTCCACTCAGGTAAGACAAGGTGTTGTACTGCTCTCCATACATGAACATCTTGGGGCAGGGTAAGGATATGAAGATGTCCAATAAGTCTTCGGTGTCTGATAAGCGAACCATTGATTCAAATGTTGGTCGCACAACCTCTGGTTTCACTTTGGCTTGTAAAGCGGCGGCATAAATGGCGTTTCCGAATTCTTGCGACTTTCGCGTACGTTCCACAAATTGGCGGAAGAAAGTCTGTGGGTTGTCGGACGGATGATCGAGTACTTGGCGACTGAGAAAGCAGTCTTCTGGCGCTAGATTCCCTTTGATGTTGACGAAGCTGAGCACGGCATCTGGGTGTCTCTGGGCCAGCTTCAATGCCGTGAGTCCACCCATCGAATGGCCGATCAGGTGGAATTTCTCTATTCCGCGGCTTTTCAGGAACTCCTCTGCCAATTCGACGAGGAATGGAATGGACAGTTGATCGAGTCTCTGGCTGGTAGATTGCCCACTCCCTGGGGTATCGTAGATGATAAAAGAAGCACCGGAAAAGGCTTTGACCAACGAGATATCGACAAAGTCCTCCTTTGTACTCCCAAAGCCATGAAGTATTAGAATAGGGTACGATGGCCCCTCTCGCCGGACGCTTGATATCGTTACATTTACGCCAGCGACCACGAGATTTGTGCACTCCCAAATGAGTGGCCTCGAGTTCATTGGTGCCGTCATTGGGCTGACTGGAGGGATCATATAAAGAATTTCCGGACCCCAACGACGAAAAGATGTGACTTGGAATTAATTCTTTTTAACACTTCCATAACCCCAGCAGGGCCTTCAAGCAATCTTGTACCACCGGATGAGAGTTGGCACAAGACCCACAATCGACCGGCAAGAATATTTTTCGCCGGCGGCTTTTGGCGAGTCACCGAGATCAGAGTCGGCTGCTTGTCTCATTAGTAACCGACAAATCCTGTGATAGTAGCATGAAGATACTGAACATGCAGGTAAATGGTAGTATTGATGGCCTTATTATATAGAGGCATTTGATTGAACATGAAACCAATGCTGTAAGATTTCTTCGCCAAACATGATGTCTTAGCTACCTGGTACTATAGATTGACACTACGGCCTATGCTAAACTGACTAGATGTTGGTCAAGTTATGAAGTTGAGACAAGAATAGAGGACGCCTTGTTTATCTCTAGGCATGGAAAGGTATGTTGGCAAACCACAAGTTTCTCTGCCAGACCCTCTTACGAATACAGCCTCTCTTTCGGTAACGGCCGCCAACTCTCACTAGTGTTTCTGTCCTCCTCTTCTGAGCTTGTCTCCTCATGTTGTTGCTGTGCTATCTTCGGCAGCTCTCTCACAGCGATGTGTCCAAATCGATCGTCAGGGCGGACATCAAGAAGTTGTATCCGCACCTCTTTCAGTTTCCTTGCTCTGTCCGGGCCATTTAGACCTGTGCCTCCAGCTGCAATTGGAGTGTATGGATTCTCTCGCGTAAGCGAGCTTGCAAACCCTAGGATATCTGGCCCGCGTATCACAAATCTTAGGACGAAACCGAGAAGTGCCATGAGTTCTAGGATCAATGTCGTAGTGGTGAGGATCGCGACCCAATGACGGTTGGCGAAGTAGACCTCTTTCTTAATTATGGCTGTTGCATCTGTTGAATTTAAAAACACTGGTGTATTGGGATCGGTTGTTGATGCCCTCTGAGTGTTTTCTGGTGTCCCTGAAAATGATATGTTGGTGTGACCTACTGGATTAAGGGAAGCCCACCAGAACGTGTTGAAAGACGTTGTCATTCGCCTTGATATCGCTTGTAGGTTTAGGCCTCCCTTCCCAGCTATGTCCGCCCAGTCAACGTATTTTTTCATTCCATACGGCGAATCCTCACCAGCAAGATAGGCATCGGTGGGCCACGCTTTCAGTTGAAAGTTGGTCCCCGATGCATTCACCCAGCTCTGCAGAAGTTGCTTGGACGCAGGAGGTCTTCCCAAAATATTTTGCAGGAGTTGGTTGCTGCAGTCTGGTTCATCGATTCGCCGTTGGCGCACAGCCAAACAGCCAGGAGTGTCAGCATCTGGCCTGCACCTCATTTCCGTTTCGAGAACAACTGCCTCCATATCGCAAGTAAAAGATGCGACACTATGTCTGTCCGTGCTGCGGTATATAATCGAAGGCGTAATTTTGTCTTTTTCCCACAGTCCCAACAACCCATTGTCGCTGAAGTTAAACGACAAGCTAGAGCTAAAGCTCGAGAACTCTCCCGCGTCTTCTGCGTAAGACGTAGTATTATGAATGCATTGGTGGAAATTTACATAGGATGTTTGCAGTACGTAATTGTACTCGACTAGACTGTAGCGTAAGGCAAGACCTTGTACTTTCAGTCCTAGAAGCGAAACGTATTCAGTGGAGTTTTTCTCGACTTCATACCACTCTCCGGGTTGATTTCGACGCTCTTCTCTCCATTGCGGAATGCGCGGCAAGCCCCAAAGATCTTGGGGCAGCTTCTTCTGAGCTGCCGAGGAAATGAGACTTGCTGAGTATAGCGAGTTGACGTTGGTCTGGAATCGTAAGACCCAACCGCTGGACATTGAGGTTGAAACCTGGTAGCTTGGATGAAGATAGTACACCTGACCGGTTAGTCCCACATTGCCCTCACCGGGGGACAGTAGCCGTAGGCCAGCTTGCCCCCCAAGAGGGGACAACGACCAAAACATGAGGATTATTATTCCAAGAGGTATCTGGGCTCGCACGAACAGAAGACGTTCGACAGAGGAGGCCAGGCTTTGAGAGCCAAAGACTTGTTCCAAGACCCCAACTCGAACACCCTGCGGATGCTCCAGTTGCCAACGAGCCATATTCTTGTAGAAACGGCCCCCGACTGCAGCAAAAACAATAGGGTATATTGTAGGAATCAAACGAGTAATATAAATCAGCGTATCCCCTCTGCTAGAAAAAGGATGCTTGTCCTGGGCAAGACTAAGGATTGTAATAACTACATTGCATTTGTTTTAGTAAATTAATTGAGCGGGTTTAAATTCCTGGAGAAGTACAATACCTAAAAAGAACATGGGAGCAAGCGTCAACAGCACGTCCCATATGAATTCTAGGTACCAAGCCAAGTTGATCGGATCTAATTTTTTGGGGGTGAAGATGAGTCCACCATCAATCAGATCTCGAGCTTGATCTGGCGAGGAGGTGTTAAGGTCATGCATGGATATGGGGTCATAAATCCGTGTGTCTGTGCCGGGAGAGCTGCGTTGTGTGACCCCTGAATGAATAGATCTGCCAAAAATCCTGAGTTAATGAGAAAGAGGCAAGAGAAAAGGCCGACTTACCTTATTGATACATGCTTTAACACAAAAATAACAGAGATGACTATCAACGCTAGTAGTCCAGCCGAAATCCCAAATACTTCCCGCCTTTGGAGAGTCCCCCAGTCGCTAAAGAACACATTGCTGTACGCTGATGAGACTTCTGGAAATGCTTTCGGATAATTTGTTGTGTTGTCGATTTCAGCTGGGAGAGTCCGCATCGTGGAGTCGTAACCCAAGATAGCAGCGGTTAGGTTTTCTGAGGGACATCCGCTTTCAGGGATGCAAGGGTTCGATGTGCAGCATCCCATGAAAGTTGTAAGGTGAATAGCACACGTCCAAAAATCAGGATTATCAGATTGACATTTTTGCATCCCTATAGCGTGATACATCAACTTATCGAAACTGGTTGGAGTGAGGTCTTGTTGGGGGCAGCCCGAGTCGGATGAACATGCGTCGCTCTTGCAGCAGCCTACGAACTCGGTCCATTGCCCTGTGCAGATATATGGATTACCGCCCTTTGGGCAGTTGAGACCGAGTTTTTCAATAATGGAAAGATTGGAGGATGCCATATGAGTCACTGAGACACAGAATGTTGCAAGTCCTATTCTTGGTGTCTGGATGGAAGGATTCGTTCGTGCCGCAGGTGAGATGGAGAGAGTTGGTGGTAGCATGGTTCCTTTCCATTTGACGAGGGGTGCTCCAGCTTATACGAAAATTTGCTACAATTGCATTAGATAATGACTGCATTTCAGCTGGCACAGCCCTCATAGATCACAAATGATAAATGACTACTGCACCGCTAAAATTGGAATAGAAAAATGTATGAGGGCAATATTGGCCGAGCTCTTGCTTGATAACTGAGAGTTGCATGCAGGCTTACTGTTAGCCTACTGGCCTATGGACAATAATAGGTAGTCTATGTAAGCGCCAAGCGATGATAGATAGCGTCTGCAAGAAGGAGGAAGTATTCCGTCTGCTTATGTAGGTAGGAAGCTACTTACCGCCTCTCCTACAAAGGACATGATTGGTGAGAAGTGGACTGAGACAATATTTGTGGTCTACAAAGGCTATTGGTGAGAGAAGAGGCGGTGCTTTACACTACCGTTCCTTTGGGAGTGATCGACTGCGCCCGAGTTATAGTTAGAGGAAACAGGCATCTTGTAAGAAAGACACATATGAGAGCAGACTAGCCGCATCCAACTTGCTGTGCTCCTTTACTCTTGCACAATTCTTATGCGCCTTTTTTACTAGATCTCATCACTGTCGAGGTGAGCGATCGCTGCAGACCTGACCCAGCTGTCATTGGTAACAGCAGTTAATTCATAGGACTCCGACCTCTCCATCTTCCGTCAAAACGAGCTATCGCTGCAAGTTAGGCCTAGCAATCAATGGCTACAACAATCCACTTGTGAAAGCCTAGTCTCTCTGTGTGTTGCCGAGACAAGCGATCTCTGTGACTATAACCCCCCAATCTTGTGCTATGATGGCCAATCTGAATGAACTTAATATCTCTGTTTGATATTGAGACAAGTAATTCCCATAGAGATTACCCATGGCCACGAACTTGACTATAACAAAAGACACACCTCGGCGAAGTTCTCATATAATCTTCCTCCATCGGCTACTGGGTGGAGTTATCAATGTGGTGGGTGGGCAGAGGAGCGTTTTGTCCATAGTAACGAGTGTATGATCTTGACCTCGTGATTTCTAGTGCCGAATATAACATATGTTTAACGGAGACTCGGGGCGCCGAAATATCAGTATCACCGGTGACACAGTCGCTCGACCATAATGACTTGATGTATGGGAGGAATCATTTCAATTTTTAGTCCTAAGGCTTTAGCTGTTTTCTAGATTACTTTGCGTCAAGAAAATCAGTGTGCAGCCTATCTTGGTGGGCAGAAAGAAAAAGAAATGGATGTAGGCCTACATCTGCGCACCGGAAGGTTTTTTTTTTCTTTCGATGCTTTGCTGCACTTACGTCGATGCTTCTGCCAATATTGCATCTGTATTAATAAGGCGTTTCACAACTTGACAAAATTACAACAAATTCAACAATACAATGCAGCAGGAACGGTCGAGGCTTAAGAGTTAGGTCCCAATACATAATGGGTAGGGATCGGAGAAGAAAGGTTGGAGGTAGGGCCTATCAGTCTCCCCCAACTCTTTTCGATAAAGAAAAAAACAAACTGAATGATGATGAATACATGTAATCAGCATTGCACGGGGTTATAAACCTACGCCTCAGCCCTATAGTTAAATACAAGGATACTTGGGACGAAGAGGGATTGATCCTTGTCATCGCGAGACGTTTGATGGTAATCATCCAAATCAATCAGCTCATTGCCGCATTTTCTCAAATGCTGAAACCCGAATGTCACTGTGGCAAGTAATACCGCGTAATTAATTAGCTGTGCTACAGCGGCGTATGAGGCACGAATCCTGGAGGATCTTGCTAACTGCCACAGTGCTCCATTAATGTCTTACGGTCCTTAATTTGAGATTGATGTTTGAAACACTGAGCGTTTCTGCACACACGAAGCCCCCGATCCATCTACGCATGCTTGACATGGATAGCCTTTTGTCGTAAGCCTATCCTCCCTTAAAACCTTAAACATTGAGGGCTTTCTTTGACTTGCGTAGTGCCTGAGCCTGTATTTGCTCGGACATTCACCCACTCAACCGCCCAATCCTCGAAAATGCGCTTTGCTACACCTTTCGTCCTTGCCACCGTGTTAGGCCTCGCAAATGCTGGATTCAGTACCTACAAAGAAATTGTAGAGGGCAAGGATAACTCCGACGCCATCACTTACTATGCGCTTGACCGATCAGATACACTCTTCTTATATATTCAGATCATTTCCGGAGGCGACCACCAATCCCTGATCAGCGATTTCAGGACGTTGGTGCAGAATTACGGCTCGCAAGGTATATCGGTCATTCCTCGTGTACGGTACGGAAACAGCGATGGCTCCGTAACCTCCGAACCCGACGACAAAGATCAAATTCTCGCCGATGTATCCACATGGGCGAAAGTCTTCTCAGATGTCTCCGGCTTGATTAAGATACCGGTAATTCAGGCGGGCTTTCTCGGTACTTGGGGCGAATGGCATGTAAGTAAAATCTTCCCTTTGAGCATTCCCCGGCGCTCCTATTCCCAAGATTCCTAACACTTGTGTAGGATGGGCCATTCTGCCAGAACCGTGGTAGCGATGACAGTGAGGCCAGTCTGCAGGTGAAGAAGTCTGTTGTCGATACGCTACTTGGTACTGGAGCAAAGGTTGCCATTCGCTACCCGCAGGATCACAAGGTATTGTATGACGGCGATCGCAAGGTCACGATTCATAACGACTGCATCTTCAACGGTGGGCCGAATGGAAACGATGGTGGCACTTTCCCAACAGATGATCGTCAGACTTGGATTGACTACACAAAGCAGGTTGCTTCCAGCAACACCTACGGAGGGGAAGGATGCGCCGATGCTGGTGACTCTAGTTATGATTGGAGCGACTTTGACGATGTCTGTGGTAGCAATGGACTGGAATCCTACATTCACAAGTTTCAGATCTCCTACTTTAACGTGAGTATTTTCCCCTTTTGCGTGTGCTTCTTGATTCTTTTCTTCTTCAATTACTCCGGTTCTGTTTATAAGCTAACCTGCGTAATAGCCGGGGAATCCATCGCAGTTTAAAGAACTGTTTGATAATAGCAACTATGCCGGCTGTGTAGACGCAATAGGAGCTGCCCTTAACCAATATCCCTAGAAAGTTTGTTCTTGAATCATTCCCAGCCTATCTAGGCTTCGAGTTGGCAGTCACTATCACTAAACATTTTCCGTTCCGCTGCAAGTTACGACTCGTGCTCGCTTTATATCAAGCCTATTGCTGGAACTGACATGCACCGATCTATTAATCGCATGCCCAATATCTTCTTACCAAGTCTATTATGTTCAATCTTTTGCCAAATGGGGCCGTCTCGCGTACATGTATGCGACAGTATGAAATGGCCACTAAGGATTAGGCTCCGACAACCTACCCTCATTTAGTGTTTTGAACAACATTCAACTTCGATGAAGAGCTGCTGGATTCCTCCGATAATTCCTAGACTGGCCAGCCAACAGCTCGGATGATGTGAGAGTGGGGAAACTCTCCAGCCGATCCCTGCACGGGTCCAAACGAGCATCCGATGAGCTCGATCTTCCACTGAGGTTGAATACAGGCGTGCTCAGCGCTACTTTGAAGTAAGGAACCCCAGGCTCAAGACTCGTTGAATAGTGTTCTAGATGACTATCATAGAATGTGTCAATAGATTAGATGAGTTGAACTGAGAAGTTACATTACTGTTGCAGATTGCGACACATATATTCTTAATTTATATTCTCAATAGCCACACATACTGCCATGTTCCGTTATACATCATTGCCCGCTATTCCCTAAGATACCTAAGACTTTGAAACCTCTACGTGGTTGGAGGAGGTTCCACTCTTGTCAATCTCAGCTTCCGCAATTTCTCTGGACTCGGCCTTGGCATCATCCATTTCC